AGGCCAGAGGGCTGCATGTCATGCTTGTGAGACGCACACAGGACCCTTCGAGGGGAGGGGTCACTGCCACACGTATTGGAAGTAGAGGCTGAACCTCTCTAGTCCGGCACCACCCAGGGTCCAGCTCGATGTGAGTGAGCCGGGCGCCCACTCATCGGGGGGTGGCCAAGTTTCCCGCAGTCCCCTGAAGTTTGTTTGCAGCCCCCGGTGTTGGTGCTCAAGGTTCTGGGCTGCTCTTTCGCTCTAGCTCGGCCCCACAGTGCTGCAGTGCTGCTGGACACCAGCCTCCCGCGGTTCCGCAAACTCTGGTCCGGCAGCGCTCAGGGCCCCAGGGTGCTGGACTGGAGAGGTTCGGCCTGTGCAGCGGGAAGAGCAGTAGATGCATTGACACACACACACGGGGCGGGTCTGCCTCCCGCGTTCCTGGCCGAAGCCTCCCGTTCTCATGCTTGTCAGATCCCATTGGAGTCGATGGGCTTTGCAGCGTCGTGCTGCACCCTTGAGCCGCGAGTGCCGTTAATCTTGGGGTTCCCGCGTCCCGCGGTGGTTATTGGGGGCGTCCCTGTGTGATCTCTCGGTTGTCTCACCTTCGGATGCTCTGCTCATCTCCAAGTTGGCTGGACACGCGATGCCCTTCACACTTCCCCTCCGCTCGCCCAAACAGCGGGCTGGAGGGTGCAGGCAAAGGGTTGCACAGTTGCGCAGCACTTCACAATAGACCTTTACGCAGCTTAGTCTACACTGCAGACAAGAAGCCAGGGTGCCGTGCATGGTGGAATCCTACAGCACGGGGAAGCAAACCTCTTCGTGGGGCCTATGCCATTACTATACTTAACTTAAACCAGCACTGACATACCACGTCCTGGTTACATGGGGGACGGAGGAGGGGGCGCAGGGACTGGGACACGGGGGAAGGGGGACAGTACGCAGCTTAGTCTACACTGCAGACAAGAAGCCAGGGTGCCGTGCATGGTGGAATCCTACAGCACGGGGAAGCAAACCTCTTCGTGGGGCCTATGCCATTACTATACTTAACTTAAACCAGCACTGACATACCACGTCCTGGTTACATGGGGGACGGAGGAGGGGGCGCAGGGACTGGGACACGGGGGAAGGGGGACAGATTG